CTTCCTATTTTCTTCTCAAAACGTAAAACTATTGGCCTATTAATTACTTAATATTAACGTTGACAAATAACATGTGTATATATATATGTGTGTTTAATAAATGGATCTATTACTGCCTCCGGTAACGCGTAATTTCTCTGATTGGTTACGCGTTACGCGTTACGCGAAAAATAACAGTGCATGGGATCGTACCCTAAGGCTGCTTTTACATGGAGCGTAAGTTGCGTTAGCCAATCAAATCGTCTCAGCGTATTTGATGAGACGTAAGATAGCTGAAACGAATTGATTGGTTGACGCAAGTTACGCTCTATGTAAAAGCAGCCTAAGCCTTTTTGTAAGGTCTGAGCAGCCTACTCNTACCTCGGAATCTTGCGCATGCGCANAACGGTCAATACGTCTATCGTCTGTCTTACTTNATCGGCGGAAAAACCGCTCATNAAAATTATACGAAGCGAGCAATATANNAGTATTAATATGGTTTCCACTAGAGATCTGTACATAAAAGGTTTGTTCTCTTCCCACCTTTCAGAACTGTACTAATTCTGAACTAGGATAAGAAAATGCACATAAGTTTGTTTTTTTCCCATACACTGGCTGAACTAGTTCACAGTCTATGGGCTATAANACACAAAATGACATAGCTGCATATGCATAGCATAAAACTATATGGACCAATGAGCGTCTAGCATTAAGTCGCCATATTGATTTACATAAAATCACGCTAGACGCTCATTGGTTTATATAGTTTTATGCTATGACTATGCACTCTATGTTATTGTGTGTATTATAACCCTTATTGGTCCATATNGACGCGAATAAGTAATACAGTGTCAACCCACAAAAAAACCTNAAATATTGAGATATTTATGTGGTATGCTTCTTTAACCTATNAAAGGACGTTTATCAATCGTGTTTTTAAAAACTTAAATGTTTTTATATATCAAAAATACACAAACATCTTAAATGAAATATATACAAACATCTTTTCTTTTTAATCTTAAAGCGTAATTTCTTCAAAATAGCAATGTGGGATGACACT